AGAAATGAATGGCTGGGTGCAGTGGATCTTGCCTGTAATCCCAGCACTTTGGGAGGCTGAGGTAGGCAGGTTGCAAGGTCAGGGGTTCGAGACCAGCCTGGCCAACATAGTGAAACTCCATCTCTACTAAAAATACAAAAAATAAGTAGCCGAGTGTGATGGTGGGCACCTGTAATCCCAGCTACTTTGGAGGCTGAGGCAGGAGAACCAGTTGAACCTGGGAGGCAGAGGTTGCAGTGAGCCAAGATGGTGCCACTGCACTCCAGCCCGGGCAACAGTGTGAGACTCCATCTCAAAAAGAAAAAGAAGAAAAGAAATAAAAAACACTAATAAAGGTATCAGTTTTGGTAATTTGTATGTTAATAGGAATTTATCCATTACATCTAGGTTATCTACATTACGAATGTATGTAATATCACTAAGCATGCTTAAATGTAATAACTTTTATTGATATTATGTGTTAGTGTACAATTGTTCACATATTCTCTTATAGTCTTCTTTATTTATATAGGTCAGTAGTGATGTTCCCGTTTTCATTTCTGATTTTAATAATTAGAGCCTTCTCTTTTTTCCTAGTCTAGTTAAAGGTTTGTAAATTTTATTGTTGCTTTCAAAAAACTAATTTTAGGCTTCATTGGTTCTATTGTTTTTCTATTCTCAATTTCTTTATTTACTCCCTTTATTCTACATATAATCTTTATTTTCTTCCTTCTTCTAGGTTTGGGTTTAGTTTGCTCTTCCTTTTCCTGGTTCCTTAAGGTGTGAAGTTAGATTACTGAATTGAGATCTTTCTTGTTTTTTAACATAAGCATTTAAAGCTATAAATTTCCCTCCATAAACTTTTTTGCTGTATCCCATAAGTTTTGGTTTGTTATATAATCACTGTCATTTATCCCATAGTATTTTCTAATTTCTCTTTTGATTTCTTCTTTGATCAACTGGTTGTTTAAGTGTGTGTTATTTAATTGCCACATATTTGTGAATTTTCCAGTTTTCCTTTTGTTATTGATTTCTAATTTCCATTGTGGTCAGAGAAGATACATTATATGATTTCAATAGTTTTAAATTTATTGAGACTTGTTTTTTGAACTAACATATGGTCTAATCTGGAGAACTGAGAAGAATGTGTATTCGAGAAGAATGTGTATTCGGGAAGAATGTGTATTCTGCTGTTGTTGGGTTGAGTGTTTTATATATGGCCATATTAGATCTAGCTTGTTTATAGTGTTCTTCAAGTTCTCTATTTTGTTATTGATCTTTGATCTAGTTCTATTTTTAAAAAAATTTTTAATCATTGGAAGTGACTTATTGAAGTCTTCAAATATTATTGTTGAGCTGCAGTTGCCTATTTCTGTCTTCAATTCTGTCCATTTATGCTTGATATATTTTGGGGGTCTGATGTTAGGTGCATAAATGTTTATAATTGTTAGGTACATAAATGTTTATAACTGATGTTAGGTACATAAATGTTATAAAATGATGGCTTATGCCTGTAATCCCAACTACTCGGGAGGTTGAGATGAGAGGATTGTTTGAGGCCAAGAGTTCGAGACCAGCCTGGGTAACATAGCAAGACCCTGGTCTCTAAAAAAAATTTTTTTTAATTAGCGAAGTATGGTGGTGTGCACCTGTAGTCCCAGCTACCTGGGAAACTGAGGTGGGAGGATCACTTGAGTCCAGGAGTTTGAGGCTGCAGTGAGTTATGACTGTGCCACTGCACTCCAGCCTGGGCAAAAGAGCAACTCCCTGTCTCTAATTGTTTGAATGATACTGGGATAACTGGATATCTACACACGAAATCATAAAGTTGCACTATATCTCACACCAACAAATTAACTAAAAATGGGTCAAAGCCCCACATGTATGAGATAAAGCCATAAAACTCCTAGAAGGAAACATAAGAGTAAATATGCATGACCTTATATTGGGCAACGGTTTTTTAGATACGACACCAGAAGCACAAGCAACAAAAGGAAAAATAGATAAATTGGATGTCATCAAAATTAAAAAGTTTTGTGCATCAAAGGACACTATGAAGAGAGCAAAACAACCCATACAAGGGGAGAACCATGCTTGTAAATCATAATTCTGATAAGGAGCTAACATCCAGAATATATAAAGAACTCTTACAAATCAACAACAAAAAGTCAACCCAATTTAAAAATAGGCAAAGTCCTGTAATAGACATTTCTCCAAGGAAGATATGCAAATGGCCAATACATGCAGGAAAATAAGCCCAATGTTATTGGTCATTAAGGAAATGTAAATCCACAGCACAATGACATGCTATTGATACTTCACACCCACTAAGGTGGCTATAATTTAACACACACATACACCAACAAATAGAAGGTAGCAGATGTTGACAAGGACAAAGAGAAACTGGAAAGCTTGTACATTGCTAGTGAGAATATAAAATGGTACAAATGCTGTGAAAAACAGTCTGACAGGTCCTCAAAATGTAAACATGGAATTCCATACAACTCATCAGTTCCCACTCCAAAAGAGGTGTTCAAACAAAAACGTGCACAAGAATGTTTATAGGACCAGGCACGGTGGCTCACGCCTGTAATAACAGCACTTCGGGAGGCCGAGGTGGGAGGATCACTTGAGGTCAGGAGTTCAAGACCAGTCTGGCCAACATGGTGAAACCCCACCTCTACCAAAAATATAAAAAATTAGCCAGGTATGGTGGTACACACCTGTAATCCCAGCTACTTGGGAGGCTGAGGCAGGAGAATCGCTTGAACCCAGGAGGTGGAGGTGGCAGTGAGCTGAGATCGTGCCACTGCACTCCAGCCTGGGTGACAGAGGGAGACTCTGTCTCAAAAAAAAAAAAAAAAAAAAAAAAAAAAAAAAAAATCAAGCTTGAACCCCGCAGGAGGTGGAGGTGGCAGTGAGCTGAGATGGTGCCACTGCACTCCAGCCTGGGTGACAGAGGAGACTCCTGTCCCTGGAAAAAAAAAAAAAAAAAAAAAAAAAAAAGAATGTTTATAGAAGCACTATTCACAGTAGCCAAAAGTCGAAAAGAACCCAAAAGTCCATCAGCAGATGAACGGATAAATGAAATGTGGTGTCATTATGATGGAATATGATTCAGCCATAAAAAGGAATGGCATTCTGAAACATACCCCAACATGGGTGTACCTTGGAAACATGCTTAGTGAACGAAGCTAGACACAGAGACCACATATTCTATGACTCCATCTATATGAAATGTGCAGAACAGGCAAATCCATAGAGACAAGCAGAATAGTAGTGGTTGGAATAAAGCAGAATAGCAGTGGTTGCCAGGGGCTGGGCGTGGCTGCTTAATACTACGGGGTTTCCTTCTGCAGCGAAGATAGTTCTGGAACTAGGTAGGGGGGATGGTTGCACAACGCTGTGGCTGCACTAAATGTCACTGAATTGCACATTTTAAAATGGGTAAAATGGTAAATTTTATGTTATGGTTGGTCACAGTTTAAATAAAATTACACCTGCCAAGGTTTTCTAAGAATGAAGCCCTGAGCACCGCAGTACTGGATACTATCAGCATTTTAAATCTTGTTTGCTCTTACAGGTGGGAGGTGTGTGTTTAAATCTGAGAAACTTTAGTTATTAATGAGATCAACTAGCTGTTCATCTCATTAATACTTATTGGAAATTTAAAATTTTTAATCTTGCATTCAATTCTTTTGTATCTTATCCTGTTTTAGTGGTAAGGACTTTAAAATTTTCACACTAATCTTCCATCTGTCATGGAGATTGCAAGTACTTTCTGGCCGTTCATATCTTCATTTGTATACCCAACGATTCCTTCGGGGCTGTGATGGGAATGTCACGGATGCTGAGCTAAGCTGAGGCACGTGGACCAGTCTCCAGTGCCCAACCAGGCCGGGTTTCCAGGGGACATACGTTGTAGGTGCTCTGGTCAAGGTTTATGCTTTCGTTCACATCTGACCCTCTAACATTCCCACTGGGCATTTTATACTTGGGTCTGCCAGGCTGATGGGCTTCCTTTCCCATTGTATTTTCACACTGTCATGGCAGCGGTACAGGTAGGGGCTGCTGGGTGCAGTGACTTTGTCTCTCATCTAGCCCTTCGGTGAGCGTGGCCTGGGACAGTCACTCTGATCCTAGGTGTATAATTATGTCACCTACAGATACCACAAATTCACACCACATTTCAATTTCTTGGCATGTGGCTTCGGCTAAGGTGCAAACATAGAGTAAGGCTCTTGTCTTCAGTAAAGCTCCCAGGCGTCTGGGCAGTGCGGCTGGCTGTGTCCCTATCGGACTCTTTTCTCATCCAGAAGAGGCTGGAAGGACATTGGGAGATGTTGGTAGTTCCTGGTCAGAACCAGCCTCAGGCTGTGCTGGGCTCAGGCCCTGGGACAGAGGAGCTTGCCTGTGATGGTCTCTGCCCCAGGGTCAGGGCCAGCCCTGCCCGATGACCTTCTGAGCATAGGACAGCTTTGCCAACCCCGAGTGTCCTCCACTCACCACACAACCCTCACTCCACACCTGCCTCTCCAAGGTGGAGGCGCCCCCCCAACCTCAGGCCCTGACCTGTATCCCCGCCCTCAGGACACCTGACCAGGGTTCCAGGGGACAGCAGTCCAGACCCAAAGGCCAGTCCCCAAGCCTTGTCCTCCTAATGACTTGACTGTCCAGAGGCCTTGCTGGAATGTTCTGTTTCCTTCTCAGGGGAGGAGAGGTCCTCCCTCTCCTCCTACCCTTGGCAGACATCAGGATCTCAGAAAATCCCAGAGCCCACCAGGAAGCACTGTCCTCAAGCACATTTTCCCAACACAGGCACCTCGTCCTGGCTCTCCCAATTGCAGCCACACCAGCCCACCCCATGAGGTCCCTGCAGACAGAGGCTGGGCATCCCCCGGGCCCCACGCCGGGCACAGTCACGGGACCTGCCAGGTGGAAGTCACCAGGTCAGCCCCAGAGAGGCCACACCTTTCCTCCTGGTGTTCCCGGGGACAGGCTCAGCCAGGGGCACCAGCCTGGTCCAGAACCAGCCGAGTGTTAGGAGCAGAGTGAGGACAAGTCATGGCAAGGGAAGCAGAAATAACGAGGGTCCTTCCGGCTCCAAACACCAACACGGAAGGGAAGGGCGTTGCTGAGTCTCCTGCTAGGAAAACACAGGCCCTGGGCATATAAAAGCCCCAGCAGCCGACAGGCTCAGACACACACTCACTCACACACTCACTCACTCACTCACACCTCCCCCAGCTCACCTCCTCCCCACCCCAACATGGCCGCGTCCACCATGTCCGTCTGCTCCAGCACCTGCACTGACTCCTGGCAGGTGGACGACTGCCCAGAGAGCTGCTGCGAGCCCCCCTGCTGTGCCCCCAGCTGCTGTGCCCCGGCCCCCTGCTTGACCCTTGTCTGCACCCCAGTGAGCTGTGTGTCCAGCCCCTGCTGCCAGGTGGCCTGTGAGCCCAGCCCCTGCCAATCAGGCTGCACCAGCTCCTGCATGTCCTCGTGCTGCCAGCAGTCTAGCTGCCAGCCGGCTTGCTGCACCTCCTCCCCCTGCCAGCAGGCCTGCTGTGTGCCTGTCTGCTGCAAGTCTGTCTGCTGCAAGTCTGTTTGCTCTGGGGCTTCCACTTCATGCTGCCAGCAGTCTAGCTGCCAGCCAGCTTGCTGCACCACCTCCTGCTGCAGACCCTCCTCCTCCGTGTCCCTCCTCTGTCGCCCTGTGTGCAGGCCTGCCTGCTGCGTGCCCGTCTCCTCCTGCTGTGTCCCTGCCTCCTCCTGCCAGACCAGCTGCTGCTACCCGGCCTCCTGCGTGTCCCTCCTCTGCCGCCCCACGTGCTCCCGCCCGGCCTGCTACAGCCTCTGCTCTGGCCAGAAGTCCAGCTGCTGACAGAGCTGAAAGTCATCCAGAGTCCCTTCCCACCTGGGGCTGACCTCCCAGCGGGCCCAGCTAGCTCCTCCCTCTCTGGCATTGACACCCTCAGAATATGGGGCAAGCTCTTTGTCTTAGGAACCAGGATGCTCCCCCAGTCTTTCCCAGATGCTGGCTGCATGGGGGACCCCAGCTGCTCCCCCAGAACCAAGTTCTGCAGAACTGACCCCAGCAGGCCTGGTTCCACCCTGGGCAGTGCCCCCTCTGAGTTCTAATAAAGCCACCTCTGTCTCCCACCAACCTCTGTCCTGTCTGTGGACCCCTGGGGGGCACAGGGTGAGGTGGGAAGTGATGCCACCCCTGACTGCAGGGAGAGTCCTGACCCCCAGCAGGCCTGGTTCCACCCTGGGCAGCACCCCTCTGAGTCCTAGTAAAGCTGCCTCTGTCTCTGTCGACCTTCGATCCTGTCTGTGGACCCCCGAGGGGCATGGGATGAGGCAGGAAGCAATGTGCCTGGTGCTGGCCTCTGTGAACCCTGAAGGCCAGGCTCCCTCTTAGCCCCATGGGCCCCCAGCCCCAGCACGTGACGCCCCAGCCCATCTTAGGGAAGCTGCCTCTGGAACCAAGGCCAGGAGTTTTGGGACAAAGTGGACCCTGGCAGCAGCTCTGGGCCCCTGAGCCACATTCACCCTCCCCAGTTCCATGGCTGCCCCCCAGGACTGGGGTAGCCCACCCGGGGCCTGGCTCCACCCAGCAACCTCACTGGTCCTGTTACCCCTGGGGAGACCAGCTATGGACCACAGTGCCCATCCCTGCAGCCCTCGT